TCATGGGCTCTACTGCCCCTCCCCCATGCCTGCCCCCAACACTCCCTGCTGCAAAATCCAGGATTTCCCACCCCCATCACCAAGGCCATTGCCCACTGCTCCGTGTGGGGAGTTCCTGCTTCTCCCTGGTCTCTAACACACACTTAGCTAGCACCTGTTAGAGGCCGGGCCCTGGGCTAATTGTTCATTATGAGAAAGATCCATTAAGGAGCTTGCAGCCCCATGGGAAAGACCGAGCAAAAGAAAATAAATGACCCTGGAGTCCCTACTTATCCTCTCTACACCTGTTTCCTTGCTTTTCATTTATTGTTATTATTAATTAATTTGTTTGAGAGACAGAAGGCGGCGGGGTGGGGTGGGGTGGGGGGAGGCAGGCAGGCAAGCAGACGGATCCTATCCACTGGTTTATCCCCAAATATCTCCAAGGCTAGGACTGGGCTGAGCTGAAATTGGCAACCGGGAACTCCATCCTGGTCTCCTACGTGGGTGGCAGGAACCCAATAACTAGAGCCATCACCTGCTGCCTCCCAGGGTGTGCATTAGCAAGAAGCTGAAATCAGGCAGACCCGGATCTCTGATGTGAGACACGGACGTCTTCACCACTAGGCTAAATGCCTACCCCTGACCAGTTTCCTTGCTTTGACTCAGGGAAACGAATGCTTTCCTCATTGCTCTGTTGTGAGGATTAATTGAAGTATTTTACGGGAAGCATTTTGCTCAGTGAGATGTTTGTTCATTCACCAAATGTGCATTGATCGCCCGCTTTGCACATCAGCAGACTACATAGACAGTGGCCCCTGCCTTCATGGTGGCCCTGTCCCAGCCAACATTTGGGAAATGATGGCTGTCACCAAGGTTTGGCAGATCATTGTTCCCTCTGCTCCTTTGATACATAGTCCTATTTTTGACCAATATCATAGTTTAAGAAATGTTGCTTTATATTTCAGATATCTCATTAAACTTAGTCCCTCTCCATTTCCAATTATTCTTTCTGTTAGAATATATGTATAAATCATTTATCATTTTTAAAAAAATTTTTCTTTTATCCAAGTCCTCAGTGGCCATGGTGACATCTACCATAGCCAGGAGCTTTTGTTTCAAGGTCCCCCACCCAGCCCCATTCACAGCTCTGCTCCTAATGCCTGTGCCAGGTGCTGGGGCATTCAGAGTGACCGGGACACATTCTAGCATCTACATTGCTGCCATTCTGGGACAGATGACAAATGTGGAGAGAGTCTGTTGTAAGAGAGGCAGCCAGGGGAGGCCATAGCATGGTGGGCCTCTCAGAGGAGGTGGCCCCTAAGCAGGGCCTTGCAGCATTAGCTCCGGGTGCAGTATGGTGGGTGGAGCCTTGCATTTGGGATCAGCGTCCACACCAGGTATGGCATTGTCCTTATCTTTGGGCAACACAGCAGTCACCAAGGAACTCAGTTCCTCCCTATGTCAAGGAGGCACTTGGGTAGAACCAACACAGGAAGACAGGTTTGGTAAGAGACAATGTGGAGGATAAAAGCCCCAGCCTGCCGCTCCAAGATCCCATATGGACCCTGATTCGAGTCCTGGCTGCTCCATTCCCGATTCAGGTCCCTGCTAGTGCACCTGGGAAAGCGGCGGAGGATGGTCCAAGTCCTTGCGCCCTTGCACCCATGTAGGAGACCCAGAAGAAGCTTCTGGCTCCTGGCTTCAGATCGCCTCAGCTGTAGCCATTGTAGCCATTTGCAGAGTGAACCAGAAGATGGAAGACCTCTCTCTCTGTCTCTACCTCTCTCTGTAACTCTGTCTTTCAAATAAATAAAAATAAATCTTAAAAAAAGAGAGAGAGGCCGACACCACGGCTCACTAGGCTAATCCTCTGCCTGCGGTGCTGGTACCCCAGGTTCTAGTCCCAGTTGGAGCGCCGGATTCTCTCCTGGTTGCTCCTCTTCCAGTCCAGCTCTCTGCTGTGGCCCGGGAAGACAGTGGAGGATGGCCCAAGTGCTTGGGCCCTGCACTCGCATGGGAGACCAGGAGAAAGCACCTGGCTTCTGGCTTTGGATTGGCGCAGTGCGCCGGCTGTGGTGGCCATTTGGGGGGTGAACCAACGGAAGGAAGACCTTTCTCTCTGTCTCTCTCTCTCTCACTGTCTATCTAACTCTGCCTGTCCAAAATATATGTATATATATAGAGAGAGAGAGAAAGAGAGAGAGAGACAATGTGAATGTTGTAGTGACGTCTTCATTCATTCATTCATTTGTTCAGCAAACTTTTTTTTTAAAGATTTATTTATTTACTTGAAAGGCAGTTAGAGGCAGAGGCAGAAAGAGATAGAGGTCTTCATTCACTGGTTCGCAGAAAGAGAGCGAGGTCTTCCATTCGCTGGTTCACTCCCCAGATGATCGCAATGGCCAGAGCTGTGCCAATCCTAAGCCAGGAGCCAGGTTTTTCTTTTGGGTCTCCCATGCGGGTGCAGAAGCCCAATGGGCCATCTTCTACTGCTTTCCCAGGCCATAGCAGAGAGCTGGATCAGAAAGGACTCGAACCAGAGCCCCTATGGGATGCTGGCACTGCAGGTGGAGGCTTTACCTGCCACGCCACAGCGCCAGCCCCTGCAAACATTTCTTGACTATCTACTCTGGGTCAGGCACTATTTTAGGAGCTGGGAGGCATCCATGGATGGATCCACCCGATCCTTGACTCCAGGATCCTTAATTTCAGCAGGAGGACTCCAACTGCAGGCAATGAAAATGGTTAATAAGTAGATTATTGGGGCTGGCGCTGTGGCGTTCCATACGGGTGCCGGTTCCAGTCCCGGCTGCCCCACTTCTGATCCTGCTCTCTGCTGTGGCCTGGGAAAGCAGTGGAAGATGGGCCAAGTCCTTAGGCCCCTGTACCCGTATGGGAGACCCAGAAGAAGCTCCTGGCTCCTGGCTTCAGATTGACCCAACTCTGGCCATTGAAGCCAACTGGGGAGTGAACCAGTGGATGGAAGACCTCTCTGTCTCTCTGCCTCTGCCTCTCTGAAACTCTGCCTGTCAAATAAATAAATAAATCTTTAACAAATTTAATTCTATTAAAAAAAGTAAATTCTTGAGCATGCCACAAGGCAAAAGGGGCTGTAGCACAACAAGCGAAGTGAGGCAGTGCAGGGCTCAGCGTGGGCACGGCAGGCAGGGGCAGGTGGTTCTCAGAGCGGGGTGGGGGGGGGGTAGGGGCTGCCTCCAAGGTGCTTGTTGAGTGAAGTCTCTCTGCGGGCAGGGTGTGAGCCAAGCCCTCAAGCACGGCTGTGGGAGTGAGGATGTTTAAAACCTCCGCAAGGTCCCTCCCCATGGTGATGGCTGTCAATCGCAAAAACACGTCTGAGTGGTCCAGCAGAAAATCTACTCACACAGTGAGCCCGGCAGATCAATCAGGCCACGCTAGCTGACGAAGGTACAGAACCTTCTGGGAGCAATGTTGGAGTAGTGGAGGCTGGAAACCACTCAGCTGCCCGGGAGCTCGACTGCTCACATATGTTGGCTACATCTGTGGACTGCCGGGTCCCGGAAGAAAGATGTGAAACCCTTCCCGAAGCGTGTTACAAAGAGAGCACTCTAGTGCAAGTAGTGTGTCTAGTGTGCTGTCGTCGGTGTGAAAGAGATGACTGGAAATCCTACACAGTGTCTTCAGGACGTGGCAAACACGGGAATGGAAAATCCATGCATCGATTTCTGTATCTTGCATGGACATGAACTTACCTTTCAGAGCCCGCTCGCATGATGTAGACCACCTCCGAAGGGATTTGGAAAGCTGGGGGACCGGGAGTCTCCAGGGAGGGGAGCAGATGGGCTGGGCAGTGTTGCTTTCCATAGTTTTGGAATTTTGCACCTTGTGCCTATCAGTTGTGTAATTAAAGTAAAGTGACTGCCGCTGGTGTCCCACTCTGGACCCTCTGGCTCAAGCCATCTGCCTCCCGCCGTGAGCGCTGCCTGCTGGTGGCTGGCAGCCAGTGTCATTCTCCGAGGGCTGTTCTTCACCAAATGTGGGGTGGCCCACAGCCCATGACCAGCCTGCCTGGCCTGCAGGGCCTCCTTGCCTTTAGTTTCAAGGCCTGACTAGCTCTGCAGAGCAATGCATGTCCCAGGGTGTCCGAGGGACAGGGCCAAAGCAAGTGTCCAGCACAATCTGCATCCTTACTTCACTCTGGCCACTGCCCTGTCTTGCTTCCCTCTCACCCTACAGATTTCTCCCCCTGAAGGACCACATGCGGTGAGCCCTTGCCTGATGCCGTGTGTCTGGGGACTGCTGCCTGAGACGCCCGAGGGTCCAGTGCTGTCCACTGCAGGAGTTTACAGCACGGGGCCCACTGCTGTCACCCCCACTGGGCGGATGAGGAGCCTCCAGTGTTTGCACACTAGCTCAGACCACACATCAGGACACAGAAGGAGCCCGTGGCCTCGGAGCCCATGTTTCTCTCTACACCTGCTTCTCTGAACACAGGATTGTAATTCTTGCTGGTGGTTCCTATCACAGCACTCCCTGCACATGGCCAGGGTGCCCTGAGGGACAAGGATGGGGTGGGTGCATAGGTACAGCCATTTAGGATGGTAACAGCCGGACGGCATGGCTGGGGTAGACTCTCGGGACCTTGGGCTTGGAGATCTCAGTGTTCCCCAGCATGCGGGAGTCCAGTCCCTGAACATCATTTTGGCCATGGGAGATGTTTGCATACTTCTGGGGGATGGGAGTTTCAGTACCTGATGAGGCAGCCTGCCTGTGTAGAAAGCACACTTTGTTCTAAGTATGAGTAACAATGCAGCTCAAGCCCTCGGGGCTCCCAGAACAGGGGCTACACCTTCCACCCTAGAAGAAGCCCTGCTAAAATGGGGCCTGGGGCGTCCTGGGCTCCGACCTTGGCCTCTGCGGGCCCACAGCCCCTCCCTCCCAGTGCCCTCGGTACCCTGACCTCCTGCAGTGGCTTTTCCTGGTGCCGCTTCAGGAACAGTTTAATCAGAGCTGCTTCTCTCTCTCTCTCTCTGTTCTAGTTTGATGGTGACAGTGCCTACGTGGGGATGAGTGACGGCAACCCAGAACTCCTGTCAACCAGCCAGGTGGGTGCCCTGTCCTCCCCAGGCCGGGGGCTAAGCGTGGGGCTGGTTGAAGCCGGGCTGCTCCTGGAGTGAGGGGGGCGGGCACAGCCCATGACTGTCCTCCGTCACAGCGGTCACGATTCCCAGTTGAGTGCCCTTGAAAGGGACGATCAAAGTGGAGCTGCAGTGTTCTCTGGCTTGGAGTGGACATCAGCGACCCTCATGGAGCTGGAAACGCCTGGCCTGTGTTCCCCAGGCTCAGAGGGAGGTTTTCAGCAGCAGTGAGCTGAGGTGTCCCGTGTCACCTGCCTCTTGCCGCTGTGCAGCCCCCACAGAGTTGCGCTCCCTACAGTCACGCAGGGCTCTCCTGCCCACCTGGAGCAGGGCACGGCCCCGGGAGGGCAGCGGACAGGGCACCAAGGGAGGAGAGCAGAGGCTGCCTGTGAGGTCCCCATGCCCAGGCATGCACAGATACCGGTGGGAATTGGGTTTTCTACTGACCCTGCTCTCTGCAGAGTTCATTTCTCTGAGCTGGGAGCTTCCTCAGTGTAGACCATGATACCCCAGAGGGTCCTCACTGCGGGGGCTGAGGGCCAGGGGAGGGTTCTACCTTCTGGTTGAGGGCCGGGGTAGGGTCCTCACTGCACAACGTGATGCCAGCGAGAACCCTCACAGGTGTTTACATGCCTTGCTCTGTGACAGGCCATAGGTGAGTAACGTGTGGCCGGGGCCTTGGGGAGCGTGGCCAGTGCAGAAGATGCTGCAGTCTCGGGGCCAGGGGTGCACGGAAGCTCTGCTGCGTGGCTGCTCCCTGTCCCGGGCCGTGTGAGGGTCCCTGCGCTGGGGCTGCCAGCATGCCCGTCCCTGGCCAGTCCCTGTGTGCGCGCCGTACTGCTGTTGCTGCAGAGCTGCCTTCGTGTGGCTCTGGCTGTGTCAGCCAGCAAGACGGGCTCAGGTCCGGCAGGTGGTCATTTTTTTAAAAAATTTATTTGAAAGGCAGAGTTAGAGAGAGAGAAAGAGAGAGAGAGAGATCTTCCATGTGCTGGTTCATTCCCCAAAAAGCTGCAACGGCCAGGGCTGTGCCAAGCTGAATCCAGGAGCCAGGAGCTTCTTCCAGGTCTCCCACATGAGTGGCAGTGGCCCACGCACTTGGGCCATCTCTTGCTGCTTTCTCAGGTGCATTAGCAGGGAGCTAGGTCAGAAGTGGAACATCTGAGTCTTGAACCGGCGCCCATATGAGATGCCGGTGTTGTAGGCAGTGGCTTGACTCCCCTGTACCACAGCACCAGCCCTGTGGGTTGTCATTTTGGTAGCCCACTCTGAAGTGGCTCAATGGTCCATAATCAACCTGGACATGGGGTTGCCTCAAGCACAGACCTACCCCTGAGTATCCACCCGGGCCCTCCCACAACCTGCAATGCACTGTGTCAGCGCAGGGAGTGCTGGCGGCCTGAGCCATCCTGTGGTGTGGTCAGTGCTGGCTCAGGCTCTATTGGAAAGTGGGACCCAGTGGCCTCTGTGGGCTTAGGCAGAGAGGAGTGTGGTCCCTGGGAGAGGAGACCCAGGACAAACCAAGCCCCTGCCAAGCCACGCACGGCAACTTTTTCGGCTGCTCTCCCACAGCTTCTCAGATCTCAAAGTGCCTTCTCAGCGGTTGTTTGGGTGGAACTGAGGCTGAGGGCTGCTGGCCGACAGCCCAGGTGGCTCACAGCTGTGTGGCTGGGGCTCAGAGATGCTGCACAGCCTCACCTTGCCCTGCCTGTGCAGGGCCCCATTCCCACCAAACGCTGCTGCCACCCTGCTTCAGCCTGAATGTCCCCTCCCTCGAAGGTGACCCTCCCAATCTGATGAGGTCCCCTCCCCTGATTCTCTCTGATGCCACCTGGTTGTTTGAATCCCTGGCATTAGTTACTGTCGTTTTCCACATATCTATCTTGGCTAAGGTCTGACTTCCACGCTAGACCGTGACCTCCATGAGAGAAGATTCTAGTCTCATATCCACTGCTGCGTGGCCCAGGGGGGCCCAGTATCTGGCACAAAGCAGACACTCAGGAAATATCTGCGCCATGAGTGAGTGTGATCCCTTCTCTGCTCTGAAATCCAGTTTTCCTGACAATGGAACCAGGTGGTTGGACTTCCTGAGGGTCCTTCCCAGTCTTCTGTGTTGTCACCCAGAAAAGGGTCCTCCTAATTTAGGGCTTTATGCAGTTGACATCAAGATTCTCAGGTCTACCAGATGGCATCTTCATGGGAGTGAGTTGTACAGCTGCAATGGAGACTTCCTATAGTGTGTCAGCGAGTTTTCGCTGCATAACAAATACCTTAGAATGTCGTGGTGGAGAGCAACAGATGCTTACCTAGTTCATGATCCCAGGGGTTGGCAGTATGGCTGGGTTCAGCTAGGTGGCTCTTCTGGTCCCGGCTAGGATCACAGGAGTCAGTGTGGTGGGTTGGGGGTGGGGCGCTTGTCCTGCTCCACTTGGTCTCTCCCCCTCCAGCAGGCTGGCCTCAGCTTGTTCACGTGGCGGGAGAAGGGTTGCAGAGCTGCAAGACCTCCTGAGGTTTAGGTTTGGACCTGCAGATGATTCTTGCGGCTCAGTCCGTTGATCAAGCCAGTCACGGGGAAAGAGACTGTACCTCACGTCAGGAGGACCTGCAACGCACAAACTACCGCGTGTGGAAAACACATGGATGTAGTTCATGCTGATTTTGATGAGAAAGGACTTAAATTCTTCCATTTCCTATAGCTCCCTTGGCTTGGTGGGACTCTGCCGGATTCTAAGTCTCTAATGGGAAAACGGCTGTGTGTTTCCTCCCCGTCTTCCCCTGTGCCTGCTTAAACTCACACCTGCACACACACATGTGTGCCTCTCATGGTGTCTGCTCACCAACTGCAGGGAGCAGCTTGTCCCAGCTCCTGAAGGATTGACATAAATATGCGGCCGCGTGGGTGCAAGGAAGGCCCCACAGCCCATGCAGCATTCATAGGATCAGCTCTCCACATGACCGAGAACACTGTAAATATGGTTAAATGCAAAGCTTGCTCGTTTGCAGTGCTTGTTGGACATCTACTGTGTACAAGATCTGGTTAGGAGTGGGGAGCCATTTCTGGAAAGCATTTGTGTTCAGAATATTCTGTTTAATCATGTTACAAACCCGCTCCCTTGAAGACAAAGTCTACTTATTTTCACCTGCTTGAATGCAGAGCCACACACGCGTACACACACGGCACTTCCATTTACTGGCTCACTCCCCAAACATCCCCAACAGCTGGGGCTGGGTCAGGAGCCCAAGAGTCCATCCCAGGGGAGCACTCAAGCACTTCCAGCATCACCCGCTGCCCCCTGCCCACCTCACCCCCACCCCCAGATATGTTGGCAGGAAGCTGTATTGCAAGCAGAGGTGCCGGGCCTTGAAGCAGCACTCTGATGTGGGAGGGGGCGCCTCCAGCAGTGGATTCACCTGCTGCGCCGCAAGGCCCCCTTAATGGAGCACTTCCCCCAAACAGCCTCTTCTTGACTTGGAAATGTGTGCCTTTTTAAAAAGTTTTCAAACCTGCGCTTAGGGACTTCAGGTCTCTTTTGCAAGTACATGCTTCACAGTGTGGCTTTTGCAGGCCTCCACAAAATCCCTTGCACAGCTCCCATTAGCCCTCATGCATTGCCACACACCCCCACCCCGCCCCGGGACGATTTTCTGCCCCACTTGCCAGGGCTGCAGCCCATCAGCGGCACCTGGAGGCGGGGTGCCTGGGGCAGATGGCCCTTCCCCCAGTGAGAGCAGATCCTGTCCAGGGCTTGCCGGGATTGCTAGTCCCTGGTTATGTGATCCAGGAAGAGTCCGCTTCTTCCTGGAATGAGGTGAAGGAGAAAACAAGTGGGCTCCGGCCCCAGCTGGCAGGATCCAGAGTCCAGATCTGCCATGCCCAGCAGGGGCCAGATGTCCCTGTGCAAGGGATGTCTGCTTCCCGTGCAATGGGCGGGCATCGCCTGCCTCCAGGGTGCTCTGAGAATCCAAGGAGGGGTGCGTCTTGGAGTCTGTTGGGGCCCCAGCCTCTCTAGCAGGCTGGGGTGCCTGTCGTCCGGCTGCTGGTGGCAGCTGCTAACTACTCACAGCCGCCCTTCTCAGGGACTCGGCCACTGCCAGGTGGGAACCCTGAGCAGGGGGTGCCAGGGGTGTCCAGGAGCAGAGTCCCTTTTCTCAAGGGGCCTTCACCACGGAGCTGACTGTAGCGAGGCCCAGCTGAGACCACGCCTCGCTCAGCTCCACCCCTCTCTTTTCATAGGAAGCCCTGTCACAGACTCTGCTTTGGGGGAATCTAACCCAAGAGTATGCAAAGCCGGCACCGGGAAAAGCCAGCTACATTGCGGGTTCGTTGTTGTTGTCATCAGAAGTAACGCAGGGACCACGGAGAGGAGCCTCTGCTGGCCCCTGGTGCTTAGCCGCAGCTCTGCCCTGGGTGTCACCAACAAGTGCCTATTTGTCCCTTCAACAGTGCTGCCAATGTCCCTTCATTGCTGTCTTCCTGGCAGGGGGTGGAGGCCATGTGCCATGTGCATGGCTTTTAATTCTGACTGCTAAAGCTGTCAGGATTTTTCCCAAGAATCACTGAAGGTGTGTGTGTGTGGGTGTAACAGGGAGAGACAGAGTAGAGATCGAGGGAGATGGAATAGCACGATCAAGTTTGCTGTTTTCAAAGCTCTCGGTGGCAAGAGTGAATGCTGGGAGACCAGCCAGGAGGGTGTGGTCATCGCCCTCGTGGGGGCTGCTGGGGTCCTAGGTTACGGTAGAGGTAGAGCAGGCAGGAAGAAGCAGAAGGATCTGAGATGTGTTTTGGAAATCAAGCTGTAGGTATTGACAGTGAAAGGGAGAGAGTGATGGCTTGATGGGTGACACCGGGCTCTGAGCATGAGCCTGTTCCTAGTGTGGGGGGTGGTGCCACTTTCTTTTACTTTCAATCCTTTTTTACAACATTTTTTCCCATGGAGACATAGTAATTGGACTTATATAGGGGGCACAGG